TTGAATAGCTGTGAGACCATGAACTGGTCACTCCAACCTTTTTGAGACTCTATAACTGTTAACCTTTTTTTCATCTAGAAAATAGGGATAATGATAGCACAAGATTTTTTGAGTTGTCACAAGGGCAAAACAATGATTAAAACCCTCATCATCAGCTCACCATCAAACCATGTGAACTGTCTGTTTCCTTTGCACACTGCATAGACTAAAGCCCAGGAGGACTGGTAGTGTTCCAGCCAGAATTTTTTCCATCGAAAGTGACAGAATCCCAAAGAAGCTTAAACCAAAAAGAAATTATGAGCTATTACAAATGAAAAACGTAGGCACAGTGTGGATTTCAGGCCCAGATGTATCCAGGGGCTCAAAACAGGACACCAACCCAGTTCTCTCCAGCTCTTGACTCCACTTTCCCCCATGTTGGGTCCAGCCTCAGGCAGGGTCTTTCTTCATGGTGGCAAGGTGGCGACCAGTAGCTTCACGGACATTTCCTTTCTTCTCCACAATCCCAGTGATTAGAGAACTTCTTTCTCAAGTGTTTTAGCAGAAGTCCTGAGATTGACTGATTTGTCTAACCTTGTCCAGCCCTGAACTGATCGCCGGGGCCAAGCGGACAGGATCTTTGGATTAGCTAGATCTCAGTCACAAGCCTACTTTGGAGTCCCAGACCCACTGACCACATGGACAAAGGACAGGTGGATCCTCAAAGAAGAACCAAAATGCTGTGTCCAAAAGGCAGGGCGGGGATGCTGGGTGGGAAAAAATAACCAATGTTTTCCACAGCGGCCTTCAAAGTCATGGCTAAGGAATCAATCAGTGCACCACGAAGTGAACAAACAACCCAACAGAAACAGGGGGAGGCCGCTGAGACCACTCCCGATTTTCTCAAGTCCTCCTTGCTCCACACACCCAACCAGCTGGATGAAACCGCGAGAGCGCAGGGAGCAAGCCCTCGGACTTCCCCAGGCAGCACCATGATGTGGAGAGGTGCATCCTCCTGTGTCTGCTGGCCCTTGTCCCTGTTATAAGAAAAGTGATTTGGGTTTTCGAAGTTCCTCTGTACCTTCAAGTTGCCAAAGTAGATAATGTTTTATTCATTTCCACAGATTCTTTTAAGAGCTACTTTCAAGAATGATGAGATTTCCCCTTCCTAGTGCAAGGGACAGCTCTCGTGTCCGCTGTCCTCCACCTGAGCGATTTTGTAATCAAAATGCTCTGCTCCTCGTCCTCCTCCGCCGTCTTCCCTCCCCTCCCCTGCCCCCCTCTCCCCTCCATGTTGCCCCTCCTCCTTGCCCAATTTGATGAGATCTTTCCAGATTTCAGTTATGGGCAAACCAGCTTTGTGATTTTGCCAAGTCTCCGAACCACCTTTACGATGACTACTTCATATTTTAGTTCAGGTTACTTTTTTTTTTAATTAAATAAATTAATTAATAAGTTAATTTAGAGAGGAATTCTATTCACCACCACACATGGAAAACCAGTACCACTTGCCATAAATAAAAGATAAATATAAAATTAAATGCAATGAAAACAATCTTACAAAATCTCAATGACAACAACAAGAACAACCAGATGCAATACGAGGCAAAGAGCTTGAACAGACATTTCTCTGAGGAAGACATACTAAAGGCCAATAAACACATGAAAAGATGCTTGACATTATTAATCATGAGGGAAATGCAAAACAAAACTACAATGAGTAGTTGTACCACCTCACCTCACACTCATTAGGATGGTTACTATTAAAAAATAAAAAAATTTAAAAAGTAAGTGTTGGTGAGAGTGTGGAGAAAAAGGAATCCTTTTGTACTGTTGGCAGGAATGCAAAATGGTGCCTCTGTGGTGAACAGTATGGAGGTTCCTCAAAAAGTCAAAAACAGAATTACCATGTCATACAGCAACTCCACTTCTGAATATAAACCCGAAAGGATTGAAAGAAGGCTCTGGAAGAGATATTCACACAGCCGTGTTCATAGCCGCATTCTTCACAACAGCTAAAACATGGAAGCAACCCAGTGTCCATCAATGGAGGATAAGCAAAGTGTGGTCCATACCTACTAGGGAGTACCGGCCTTTGAAGGGAGGGACATTCTGACACCTGCTACAACAGGAACGAATCTTGAGGACATGATGCGAAGGGAAAGAAGCCAGACACAAAAGGCTTGTTCTGCTGCGGGGAGGGGGAAACGGGGAGTCAGTGTTTAATAGGGACAGCGTTTCAGTCTTATAAGGTGAAAGGGCTATCTGTGGAGCGGGGTCGCGGTGGTGGCTGCGCAACAGTGTGAATATATTTAACATCCCTGACCTGTGCACTGAAGATGGTTAAGAGGGTAAATTTGCTGTTATACATATTTTACCACCATGTAAAAAAAGAGAGAGAGAGAAAGAGAGAAAGAAATCCTATCTGGATTCTGTGGCTGGCCCGAGGCCTCCAAGCCTGTGGCCTGTCTCTCAGCGGGAAAAGGAAGATTGTTTGAGAGTCATTGCAGACATTCCCGATCCAGGAGCTCTCCTGGGAGCAGTCAGAAGGACCGAGGAAGAGCAGAAAAGGGGAGAACTTTCTCACAGGAGAGCACGTGTTGTTGACTGTCCTGGCGAATACCCGCTCAAATCATGGGGCTCAGGTTGCTGACCTGGCTGAAGACCAGTTAAAATTCTGCCCCTACCGACCATCCAGCTGATTGTTGCCTCTTTTCTCAGCTCTGGCCTCAGCACCCTGTATCCTGGGTTCTCTGTCCCAGAATTCCTGCTGTCGACTAGATGAGGAGACTAAGGGGAGGGCCAGAGCCAGGCTGGTGCCCCGCAGTGCAGATGCCTCCCGATGCGCCCACCCAGGTGTGCTGGTTTTGGTCCAAGCTGTGGAAGACAACGGACTCAGTGAGTGGCCTGAGCAGCTCTGATGCATCCTGTGTCTGGGCGCACCCGAAAACCACCTTCCACCCCTTCCTCTTTTTAGCTCGTTAGCATACTTTCTCTTTCTCCAGCCACCCCTCAGTCCAAAACATCTTATTTTGTAGGTGATGGGCATTTTATTTCTAAGGGAAGGGATAATGATGAAGAGATCCAAGTTCTGGCCCAGCAGGAACAGAAGATAATCCTAGTCTTGGGTGTTTTTCTAATTTTCAAAGCATGGAGCACAAAAAAATGAAGCAGGGCCCCCCTGCAGAGCTTACGTCCTGCTTGGTGATGAATCACCCTGGAGGATGATGTCTCCACGTCCCAGTCCTTGACTTGGACTCCAGGACTGGGCGGGATAGAAGGAGCGGGGCCGGGCTGGAGAGACTTCCCCATCAGCCCGGTTCTGGGGGCTTGTATGCTCTTCGCCTCGCATGGCTTTGTAACGAATTACCCAGCAGTGACTGGTGCAAACCACCACCTGTGGCGCTCATGGGTTCTGTGGGTCAGCCTTCCGCCGGGCCGGCCAGTCCTCAGCCGCAGATCTGGGAGGCTGGGCCTCCAGTCACCTCTGGGCCCCGGGCGTTCACGTGTCGTTGGTTGGCGCCGGCTTTTGCTGGGAGGAGTCGGATTCTCTCCACGTGGGCTGCTCTGTGTGACCTCCGCGCGCGGGCTCATTCAGGCCTCCTCCCAGCATGGCCACTGTGCTCAGAGGACCAGCGTCCCGCGGAGGGGGCCAAGTGGAGGCTGTGGCCTCTTTATGACATCTGCCGCCTTCTCTGGGAGGAGTCTACAGGAGCGTCAAAGGATTTGCGGAACGTGTGTGAAGTCGACCTCAAGTGCCCTGAGACCGGAGCAACTCCAGGGCCTCAGGCCTGTCTATCGCCCCACGACTTGGCGGTGCCTGAGGTTCCCTATCCAGCACAGGCTGATGGGCTCAGCTGCCGGCCCTGCGGGGACCGCCCAGTGCCATCCGGGGCCCACCTCTGTGTATTTGTCTATCCCTCTGGTCAGAGGCCTCTGGTGAGGGAGGGCCTCTGGGGGTCTGCAGGGCTTCTCAGAGGTCAGCAGCCCAGGGCCAAATCCTTCATTCATTCATCTGCTCATCACAAATCTGTCCCGCGTGCGTCCTGTGAGCCCAGGCACCGTTCCCAGCGCACACGGTCTTGGTAACAACAAAATAAGGCAGCCCTTGTCTTCTGTGCAGCTCAGGGCAGAAGACAAGACTCAGGTGAGCGGGGAGAGCCCTCCACGCATTGCACCTGGACCACCCAGAAGGTCGCAGAGGGGATGCCAGGAGGCCTCCCACTGCAGTCTCCCCCTGTGCAGCGGGCTGGCAGCAAGTCGGGGTAGCCCAGACCGCTAAGGTGCTTCTGGGTTGACTTTGTCCCCCTGCCACTGCCCACACCCACTGGCTCTGAGCTCCGGGGAGAGGCAGGGAGCCGCGGCCCGTGCCCGTGAGTCACGAGTGTAAAGTACACCCAGGACCTTGGCAGGACCATGTGTGCAAGGGTAAGGTGTCATTAGGTGAACATTGAGAAATGCTGCTTTCCCATAGCCCCTGAGATAAAAGGAAACAGCTTCCTCCCGCAGCCTTTTATCGCTCGCATTGCTCTGGGGTGGGAGCTGCAGGTCCCGGGGCAGCAAGGCGGCGGGCTGTGAGTGTGAGCGCGCGTGTGCGTGTGCACATGTGTGTATGTGTGTAAGTGTGCGCGCTCGTGGCCTTCCGGCAGCTGTCCCCCCACCGCACCGCACCCCCCCCGCCTCCCGCCGCGCGCCGCCCCCGCCCCTGGCCGGCTGGGTGCGCCCCGGGCCGCTGCGCTGACGCCCCGCTCCCCCGGCGCTGGGAGGCGACCCCCGGCGCGGCCCGGGTTCAAAGGCCCCGCGCGGCGGCCCCAGCCCCTCCGGGGGGCGGGGAGGCGAGGGGGTGGTGCGGGCGCCAGAAAAGCCCGAGCCCACAGCCGGCCCTGCGCAGGGATGGGCAGCGCGCTCTCAAGTGTGTGACCGCCGCCGCCAACTCCTGGCCGGGGCCCGGGACGCAGCGAGCGAGCGCGGGCCTCAGACCCCGCAGCTGGAGGGCGAGGCCGCCGTGCCCGGCCCAGCGCCCTTTCTCGGCCACAGGCGTCCGTGCTCCCGGCCCGGTGCCCCGGCGCCCGATCGGGGTTCATGGAGCCGGGGCTTTGGCTCCTCTTCGGGCTCACAGTGACCTCCGCCGCAGGTAAGCGGGAGGGGCGGCGCGCCACTCCGGGCGCCAGCGCACACAAAAGGACCCTGGGATGGGGGGCGCGGGGAAGGGTGCGTTGTGGGGAGCAACCTCTGGCCTGGGCTCGCCAACCTTGGAGGCGCCTGGGAGTGGGCCGGGCGGGGGGGGTGCCGAAGCGGAGCGCCAGCTACCCCGGGGGCTCTGGAGGTTGCAGCCCACCGGCGAGCCAGAGGTTCGGCTGGCCCGGTGGACTTGGTGAATTTTTCATGAAGTTGGGAACTTTTCAAAAAGTTTGCAGACTATTCAGAAACTGTGGAAAAATGATTGCAAAGCTCTCAACGGGTGCAAATACCTTGCAGACTTTGCAGAAAGGGAAAATAGCTTGCAAGCTTTTCACCAAGTATGCACATTACTTGTAATCTTTTCAGAAACTGTGCACATAGCTTTGTAAACTTTTCAGAATGTATGGCCGAGTTTGGAGACTTTACAGAAAGTGCAACTAGCTTGCAAACTTTGCAGAAATTTTGGTCGTCCCCTTCCCCCAGGTTTTTGGGAATGGTAGGTGTGTGTGTTGTGGGGGGGGATCTGCACACTCAGGAGCTCAAGAGCTCCTCAATCTGCCTCCTGCAGGATTGGTGCCTCGCCCCCAGCCTGGGGACGCTGGCAGGAGCGGCGTGCCCGGGGCCCCCCCTGCAGCCAGATCTGAGGGGGACATCGAGGAGACTGTGGCCACTACCGCAGTGCAGGGTCCGAGTCCCAGACGCCTTGGGCAGGAGCAGGAACCAGGTCGGTTTGGGGAGCAGGCGTCCAAGGGGGGTCCTGTGCACCACCGTGCGAGGCGCTGTACGTGCTTCACCTACAAGGACAAGGAGTGTGTCTACTATTGTCACCTGGACATCATCTGGATCAACACTCCTGAGTGAGTCAGCCCAGTCCTGGGCGGTGGGAAGTGATTGGGAGGGCTGGCCTACATCTTCACTCCCGGAGGGCCTCATCCATCCCATCCCTGCTGGGTCAGCCCAGAGCCCGCCCGAGCCCACCCTGGCACAGCCTCGGGCTCTTGCTGGGGCCTCCTGCCATCTCAAGCCTGGTCTGCGGGTCTGGGCTGTGACTCCCATCCACTCTGAGGGCCTGGCCTGGGAGAAACCCAATCTCAGTTTCTGATCCAGTGGAAGGGGGGGGCCCTCCCTCTGAGAGAAATGAGCTGGCAGAGGGATTAGTTACCTGAGAAGTCCTTCTTCCATGGAGGAAAGTTATCTCCTGCCCCAGGGGCTGACTGGGCCCCCTCCCGACCCTGCCTCGCTCCAAGGAGTTTCAAATTCCTTGACAGCAGCCTGCTCTCCAGAGAGCACAGGGGTGGGCTTGGCAGGGCCTGGTAGAACCTTCCCAGGAAGGGTGAAATTCCACGGGTACCAGGTTCCTTTCCTCCCGGGGCTGGAGTGCCGACTGGTCCTGCCACAGGCTGAGCCCCATCACCCACAGTGCCACCCACTGTCACCTCCTGCCACAGACGGCCTCTCCTCCTCCCTTGCAGCCCCTAAGAACTCTTACTGTAGGATTGAGGCCAGTGCCACAGGGAGTCCTGGGGTCGGCCTTGCTGTAAAGTCAACCTTCTTCCAAGGCCATGGGGTACAGGGTGCTCTGCTGAGGGAGGATGTGACAGTGTCTCCCATTCACTTACTCTATCTCAACCTCCCTCTGCAGACACATCACCTTTAATCACCTTACCAACTGTAAAGAGGGCTTGACCTTGCCCTGGTTACATGCCTTCTGGGCTTGGACACCCCGAGCTCTAAAATCTGGGACTTGGACCCGATGATTCTACGTTCCATTCCCGGTGTGTTCTTGGGACCTCGTGGACTCCTGCTGGTGCCCTACTAGGGATTCTTATGTAGAGCTGGTAGTGAATGGGAACCTTTCTCTGGGAAAGGCAACTTGGCTGCTATGTTTGGAGCCACCTTGATTCAGCCCCCCGTATGGCTTCCTTCACCCTCAAACCTCTGAGCACACTGGGTGACAGCTTGGATGGGCTCACTTACCCACCTTGTTTTGTGAGCACCTGCAGAATGAGGGGCCGAGTAGCTTTCAAACCAGGTGACAGGATCCCTAAGCACGTCTGGGATAGGTCTGGAAAGTGACCCCATTATGCCAGGTGGCAGGCAGGGCTGGCTTCACTAAACCACCTTGACTCGTGCTCAGGGTTCCAGGCTCAGAAGGACCCATGCTCTGTTTAACACTGTCTTGAAATTCTTAACACTTTTTGAACCAGACGCTCCACGTTTGCATTTTATCCTGGGCCCCATACATTATGTAGCTGATCCAGATGGCAGAATTTGCTTGCCAGGCTGTGTCTGATCAGGCTCCGGTACACACAGTCAGCCCATGCAGGGAGGACGCAGCCTCATCTTCGTGGGGAAGAAGAAAGTGCCGTGTGGTGGGAGAGGGGCTCCGGGCCGGGGCTGCCATTGATTGCCTTCTCTTCTCAGACAACGATCAGGGTTACCTCTTCTCGCAGCCCCCATCACCCTGACACTTGTCTTTTCTGATTCCTACCCTCCTGGCATCGTGATCTGACCAAAGTATCTTCACAGAATTGAGGACGCAGGGCAGTCAGCACAGGATTGAGTCCCAAGCTGTGAATATAGAAGAAGAAAGGAAAGCCAACCGCATTAGGGACAGGGGGCCTGGGGCAGAGGAGAGAAGGAGGGGAGGAAGGAGAGGGTTTGGAGACTACCTCCATTCTCTGCTTGTTGCCAGGCTCCTGGCACTGGCTGGAGGATTGATTGCTTGAAATTCGCCCAGGAGGCTCCGCAAACACCCTCTGATCTGTCTGAAGCCCTGGCTCGTAATTCTGCGTTGTCGTGTCTGAAGCCATGGACCTTTGACTTCTTCCAGGGCAGCCAACTTGCTGACATCTCCCCTCACAGTTTGATTGACCTCTTCTCTTTTCTGACCCTGATTCATTTTAAACACTAGGAAAGAAGGATTAAATATGGTGTTGAGAGTTCTGCGTACAACAAGAATGACAACAGCCAGATGAGCATTTTGAAGTTAGACAAGCAAAATAGTTTTCATAAGGAAGATTTTTCCAGATGCTCTTTCTCCTTTCTTCTCCCCCCAACCCCGCACTTGCCTCTCTCCATGCCTTTCTTTCCTTCCTTCCAAAGGAAGGTCTGGTCCATTTGCTGTCTTTAAACATCTTGGACAAGATTGCAATGTGAGAAAATGGGCTCTAGGGACAGGGCATGTGGGCCTTTGGAGAAATGGAAGAATGAAAAATGGCCGAACTGAGCTAACGGGACAAAAGTGGAGAGTAATGAGGTCTTTCCAGGTTCCTGTCGGTTCCCGTACCCACCTCCTGTTGCAGACCCTCCTGGTCTGTGGAAACTTCTCCAGCGTGTGATGTGCATCCAGGCTCTGCCGCTGGCTGTGCTGGGAACCGTAGGGCTCTTGAGCCTCATGCCTACGTCGAGAGGCTTGACTTTGGGTGATTTTTCAGCTCTTGGTGTCTTTCTTCCTACTGCCCATCCTGTCACATGAAGATAGACCCCACAGTCCGACTCCGCCTCGGGAGGACATTTGCAGGGTTGCAGGCATCCTGGGAGTGTGGTCACTCAGGCTGTGTGTAAGGACCTGAAAACTATAGGTGGGGTGCACAAGGTACTGCTGAGACCCTTTGCATCTTATGTGCAAAGTCAGTGCTGGTGAGGGCCCGAGAGACCGGGTAGTCCCGAAGTATCTTCTGGGTGTAAGAGCTGAGGATCTCTGGCTCTCCCACATCCCTCCACATGCTTCCTTCTTCCAGACCTGAGCTTGCTCAGCACACTCGGCCGGCACCCAGTGTGTACTAGATGTTCAGTAACACTGCTTGGCTTTCAGTGAGGTCCTGCTGCCTGAAGATTCTTCCTTGTCTTCATTCTCACAGAGGCTGTGGTCTGCAATGCTTTCTCCCAGAAACGAGGCTTCTTGTTCCAGGACAAATGGATGTTCTCCAGAGGCCCCAGCAGACACGTGTGGGAATGTGGGTTTTTTCAGAGGTGTTGCGCATAACTTCCACTGTAGCCTCCACGAAGTCTGTGGTCCCAAAGGGGAACCAAATGTATCCTGGGCCTGTGGAGGCGGCTGAGGCCACAGACGGTCCGTGGCGCAGTATGGTTTTCATGACTTTCTCTGGCCATGTTAAGGAGCTCCCACCCCTCCCCCTAGTGGTCCCCCCATTGCCAACAAAAACAAAAACAAAACTCCAAATCAGAGAAAAAACACATCCCATCTTATGATCATGAAAGTTTGCCAAGAATAAGATGACAAGGGAGAGGTCGTGCACAAGTAGTCCATGTGCTTACATGCTTGTACACGTGGGGCTGTTCTCCACGAGTCCTTGAAAACCAGGAGTCACAGCAGGAGATTGTATTCATCAGGGTCTCTGGAGAGACAGAACTCACAGGACGTGTGTGTGTGTGTGGTGCGTGTGTGCAGACGCATCTGTGTAAATACACACACATACGTATGCACACAGCAGGTGATGTTGCAGCCTCAACTCCGCAGGCAGAATTCCTTCCTCTTCGGGTGCCTCACGTTTGTCCACCAAAGCCTTTGACTGATTAGACAAGGCCCACCCACGCCGTGGAGGGTCATCTGCTTTACTCAAAGTCTACTGAGTTACATCTCAATCCCACCTAAAAAAATACCTTCTCGGCAACATCTAGACTGGCATTGCACCAAACATCTGGCTGTGGTAGCCCAGCTAAGTTGACACATAAAATTAATCCCTCTGTTCTGGCCACCATACACTTGGTGGAAGAGTGAGCCAGTCGTCAAGTGACCGACGGAGCTGCAGTTCACCCAGTAAGGAGCTTGTCTGTGTTCCTCCCACTCTGTTCCCAAGAACTGAGAGAACATGCCATCTGCTAATCCCTCCAAGCCCAGAATGAGGGAGAGGCTGTGATGGGGACCATGTTTTCCACACAAAACTTGGAGCCATGGGAGCTGACCAGGAGGAATGTATTTATGAAAAGAGTGGTGGGGATGTTTGCAGTCTCAGCTGTGGTGGAAACTCTGGGATCTCCAACGCCTACTCGGGGGAAGGCCCCAGACCCCAGCGCTCCGCTCCGTGTCCTAGCTGACAAGCTGAGTGGCTTGGGTGTGCAGCCCCCCTCTCTCAGCACCCCTGGGGTGAGGTGTCAGTGCCAGGCTAACTCTGGGACAGTGACCTCACAAGATGACTGACCTGCCTGTCACCCCGGCTGCTTCAGAGCATGCCTCTCAGACTCAGTCCAGCAAGAATGACATTTGTTTTGGGTTCTTTTCGTCCCCAAAGAAGTAGAGTAAAAAAAACCAAAAAAACAAAAAAACAACCCAGTAATAATAATGGTAATTAAAAAAACATCGAAATTTGTATTTTAATATGTTTTGCCACAAAAAGGCAACAATGCCACAGATTCATCTTTGCCCCTGTGTTGTTCAAGAAAGTCATGTTCACATTTCCAAGAAGGGGCATCCCAAATGTTAGAACGTTCCAGTGAAATGGATGGATCCGGAACCCCCTGTGTCCAGCTGATATGAGGCCAGCTGTCCCCCCCCCCCGGCTGTGACCCCCCCCCCAGCCCATGGGTCAGGACTGGGGGCACTGTTGCGGGAGATGCAGCTGCTCAGGCTGCTCACCGAAGATGGGTGAGGATGACGTCAGAAGGGAGAGGGGACGTGGAGTCTGGCGAACGCTTGGTGTTGTGAAGACGTGACCATCGGGATAACTGCGCGGCTTCAGGGCTGTGTAAACCCCCCTGGGCCAGGGCCTGGCCTGCCCGCCATCTCCTCCATTCTGTGGTTGGGGGCGCCTGCCATCCCCCATTCTGTGCATTCCGTGGTTGGGGGGTGCCAGCAAGTAGGAAGTACTTTCTCCAGGACTGCTGAGGTCACCTC